GCTTTGTGGACCTTTAGGATTTGAAGACTTGAGCTTTGTGGAACTCTAGGCTTTGAAGATTTGAGCTTTGTGGAACTCTAGGCTTTGGAGACTTGAGCTTTGTGGGACTCTAAGCTTTGAAGACTTAAGCTTTGTGGGACTCTAGGCTTAGATGATTTGAGATTTGTGAAACTCTACGCTTTGAAGATTCGAGCTTTGTGAGACTCTAGGCTTTGAAGACTAGAAACTTTGTGGAACTCTAGGCTTTGAAGACTTGAGCTTTGTGAAATTCTAGGCTTTGGAGACTTGAGCTTTGTGGAACTCTAGGCTTTGAAGACTTGAGCTTTCTGGGACTCTAGGCTTTGAAGGCTTAAGCTTTATAGAACTAAGATTTGGAGACAAGAACTATGTAGAAGTCTAAGCTTTGAGGACTCTAGATGTATAGAACTCTAACGCTTCGAATACTCTAGCTTTATAGAACTCTAAAGCTTCGAAGACTACATTTGTACAACTCAAAATTCTTCGAAGACTCTAGCTTCATAGAACTCTAAACTTTAAAGACAAAAACTACACAGAACTCTAAGTTCCGAGGACTCCAGCTTCACAGAACTCCAAGCTCCAAAGACTCGAGCTTCATAGAACTCCAATCTTCCAAAATTCATTCCCCCCGTTAATCTTTGAATCTATAAAGACTCAATCTTCGGTTAAACCTTAAAGCATCAAAGACTACCTCGATCTCCAAACCTTCAAGTCTTCAATCTTCACCCTTAAAGCTCCAAAGGCTCGAAGCACTTACAGCACTGTTACGTACACGTACATATCGCATGTTTCATTTGGTCGTGTGAAGCAAATGGTCCAAAGGAAATTGCGCCCGAATTTCGCGCAGCTTCGAAGCACGAAAAGGAATGAAAGGACTGCCGGGTTTACCGGGTCTGTCGGTACACAATTTCGCCTTTCAAACGGACGGAAGTTCGTATCGCTCGCAGCGCGGCTCGATATTCTCCGCGGAGCCCCTAATTCTCCCAGCGAACGTCTACCAAAGACTGCGCGAGACGTCGAACGAAGTTAGGCTCGCCGGCGGGTTGAATACACGCGGGATTTCTATTATTCCTCGCGCGGCTTTATCCTCGCCGCCCGCCGACCTCGCGGATATTTGAATAATTAACAACAACAGTACGGCCAACTTCCGCGGCTGAGTTCGCGTCCCTTTCAGCCGCGGTCTCAGGGATCAAATCGCTGGATCCGCGAGCCCACTCGTGGGACCGTCTTCTACGGGTCTTTCTATTCGCTGATTGACTCGCTGAGATCTCGTGTTACGAAAGGAATTGTGTGCGGTGGAATTAGGAAATTGTTATTAACACTTTGCACCAGAAAGTTTTTTAATAGAGATATTCAGTATTCTTCGATGAGATACAGACGATCTTTGAAATTTATGAGGAAATATACAGAAATTGAGAAGGAATTTTATTTGAATATTCCGTGTATTAGTGTATCATACAGAGATTAATATTATATATAAGAGTTTGTAATTTTGCAAATCAAATCGAGTGACTGAGAGTCTCTCGAGTGCAAAGGGTTAACTTTTGTTGGTGACTTGATTATGACCTATTTGTTTGGTTGTTTCTTGTAACTGTGTGTATGAGTAGTTATATCTAGGTAATTGTCAATTATTATTGTACATACTATATATAATACTTTAATTATTCATTTGATCAAGGATATTAGCACACGTCTTTTAATAGTTCAATATCAAACCTGAACGATCAATGCTACTCATTTCTTGTTGAAAACGACTGCACACGTTCGTATTGCTTGAATAATACAAATTGCAAATGAAAATTTAAATTATCTATCTTTCAATGATAAAGGATCGATGATCGAAGAGATAGGAAAGGATGGAATATTTCTTGTCCAAGTATTTGTATCATGTTGCAAGCATGTGGCGAAGAAGTTTGGAATGTTTCATTCAATTTACGGTGTCGAGGGTGGACAGAAATTGATAAGGTACACGGTTGGAGGATGGGAGGAGGGACAAGGAGATTGTGTACATACTTGGGCTGTGAACTCTTATATCGCTGTCGCTGGGGCTGGAGACTCGATGGTCGGTTAAAGAAACGACCCTTAAGGGTCCGGCTGGGCTGATCAGTCGTTGAGTGGAATGGCCGCCCGGCGACGTTAACCTCAGGTCCTTCCCTTCGTTGCTGTTCAGCCTGAAAATTTCAACAGAATACGCTATCACTATGCTACAGTTGTGTTTCACGGTTTCTTCAAATTTTGTTGTATTATCAGTTTCTTGGGTATTTTTGGGTACTATGAAACGTAACTGAATTTTACTAAAAGTGTTGGAATATTGATGAAGTTTGAGAAAGAAGAAGATAGAGAATGAACGTTAAACTTCTGGTAGGTAAAACTATAGTAATTTGAAGTTATAGATCTTGTATTAGCTTTTGAAGTTCAAAGTTTAGACATTGATAGCTTGAGCTGTCGAGGTTTGAGAGCTATAGTTTTCGAGAGTTCAGAGCTACAGCTTTCAAGACTCCAGGGCTACAACTTTGAAGACTCTAAGGCGACAGCTCTGAAGCCTCAAAAGTTACAGCTCTCAAGACTCCAGAGCTACAGCTTTCAAGACTCTGAGGCTAGAGCTCTGAAGACTTTAGAACTAGAGCTTTGAAGACACCAGGGCTAGAGCTTTCAGGACTCTAGAGATAGAGCTTTGAAGACTCCAGAGCTAGAGATTTCACGACTATAAAGATAGAGCTTTCAAGACTCTAGGGCTATAGCTTTCGAGACTTCAGAGCTAGGGCTTTCAAGACTCCAGAGCTACGGCTCTCAAGACTCCAGAGCTACAACTTTGAAGCCTCAAAAGCTACAGCTCTGAAGACTCCAGAGCTACAACTTTGAAGGCTCTAAATCTACAGCTTTCAAGACTCTAAAGCTACAGCTCTCAGAACTCCGGAGCTACAGCTCTCAAGACTCCAGAGCTACAGCTCTCAATCCTCCACAGCAACAGCTCACAATCCTCCAAAGTTACAGCTTTCAAGCCTCCGGAACTTCAGCTCTGAAGTCCCCATCCCCATAGCTTCCAAGCCTCCAGAACTTCAGCTCTCAAGTCCCTATCCCTACATCTTCCCACCTTCCAGAGCTACATCTCTCAAAGCCCCAAGCTCAAGACCACCCTCCACAAAACTAACATTGACTTCGATATCAAATCCACGTACCAAACATCATATCCCCACATTCTCCATACAAACGATCACCCCATAAAACTACTACTACTAAATCCTACTCACATGGAGGGAGAACTAGTGCCGATGTCCCCGCTGCTAGCAGCTCGCAGAATCTGAGAGCCGACGGTCACATCGTTGTCCGACTGTCTCACCGACTGCGGGGTGGACTGATGAAGCGGAAGGGGCTGCCTGTGCGAGGCGTTGCCCCTTGGCAGCGGAAGGGTCGACACGCCGGCCGGCGCCGGCGGCTGGGTCTGCGTGTTCTGTGCCAGCTGCGACGTGCTCACCGCCCTCGGCGGAAGCGGGTCCCTCCCTATCACCGACCCGGATCCGGAAGCTGCGAACAAAATATTTCACCTGATAAAACTTCGGCCGACGCCGGCTCTACGCCGCTGAAAAATTTATTCGCCTCGGTTACTGCACCCCTCTCCTACGTGAATTCTTAACTTCCGCTGGAGGAGTTCAACCCCTTGCCCTTAACGCCGCCGCTACTATCTGTTTCTCCGACGATATACTCGGTTGCTATATTCTAATCCAACGAATTCCTGTTTTTCTAATTGGCTGGTATCGTTTCTAGTTTTTGAAACTGCTTGTTGTTTTGTTGGGTAGTATTATCTTTAAGTTTTGGAACTTCTAGTTTCCTAGTTCGGTAATATTACTTTTAATTTCTGAAACTTCTATTTTTCTAATTACATGATATTATTTTTAATTTCTAAAACTGCTACTTGCTTAATTAAGTAATATCATCTTTAAATTTTGGAACTTCTAGTTTCCTAATTCGGTGATATTACTTTTAATTTCTGAAATTTCCATTTTCCTAATTAAGTAGGATCATCTTTCATTTTTAGAACTCCTATTTTTCTAATTAGCTCATATCATTCTTAATTTCTAAAACTGCTACTTTTTTAGTTAGGTAATATCATCTTTAAATTCTGGAACTTCTAGTTTTCTAGTTCAGTAATAATTACTTTTAATTTCTGAAACTTCCATTTTCCTAATTAAGTAGTATCATCTTTAATCTCTAGAACTCTTTCTGCTATACTTGAAGAAATTTTTCTACTACACTATCCTACAAATCAAATATTTAAAGCATAAAAGTAACAAAAGTCACTGATTCATTTAAACAAAAATTTTTAAAGAAATTATTTTACTATACACAAACTAAGTTTAATAGATACGCTCTTTCTATACAAAAATTTTAAAGTCAACTCGACTGCTTGGTTATTCTACTGTTAAATGATACTGTATATACTTAATTCATTTAATGAAATACAGTGACGACTCTCGAGACCAGAATTAACAAACCTGAACGTTGTTGAATTTCTTTGAAAATTCAACGTTAACTCTCCGCTCTCGGATATTTTAATATTGAATTTCAAATGTCCCCTCGGACGGGATTTCCGAGCGCAAAGAGTGAAATTAAATAGTAAATCGTCGGGCAAGGGGTTTTCACGTGGAAGTTTGTGGTTCTCATTTCTCGCGAGACACGTTACCTTTGGTTGCACCGCTACATGGATTTGTGGGAACTTTTAGCGGCGCTTTCAAGTTTCAACTTCTCGATGACGCGCGGAAACCGAGTTTCGTTGGCTGTGTAAAATACAGGGAGGTTAACCCTTTGTCTCTCAAATTTTCAAAACGATGCACCATAAAACTTCGTACCTCTAATTCTTTCTCTGGAATCCACCTTAAAATCTCCACTACCAATTGATTTTCGTAAACTAACAATAAAGCAAACAATATTCCATTGTCCCATTCTTCGATTGCATAAAAATTGTAAAATTCCGTATTTAACGTTAAGTCTTGAGTAATCTGTCAATGTATGAAATGTGGAAATAAAATTTGTTCCTCCTATTTTGTGAACAGATTCCTCGTTAAGTTGAAAAAAATGTCATCTATATGTCATAGAGATAAATCGAGTATTTCTAGTGACAAATTTTTCGAGTGCATAGGGTTAAGAGAGCAATCGCCGTGAAAAGCGAGCAGCGCGAGCGAGGAGTGATAACAACCGCGCGATTTATCCGTGGAAATACGAGCGTCGATTCGGAAATGCGTCGGAATGAACTGGACACGTTGAATTCAATGGTATTTATCGTTCATTTCCGTTCGCGCTTAGGGAGGGATGTCATCAATGCTGTTGATGCATTGAAAATCAATAGGTCTAAATTAGACCTGAAAAATTCAATGCGTGCGCGCCGGGAAACGTTCGGCTCGTCTCTCGAACTGACTGTGGAAGTTCAACGAAGGAAATAGAATTCCCAAATAGTTTCTGGAACTAACAGTGGATTTCGGTGTGGAGAGTTTTTGAGTTTTTTGGGTTTCTGATAACTTCGTTGAGTTTCAGAGTAAAATGAAATGTTAATGATATTGAACGTGTGATGTTAATTTGCACTCTGGAGCCTTTCAGTTGTTTGATTTGATCGAAGAAAATTGTAAAATTGAAAATAAAATATTAAATATTATATGATGTGACGTAAAATAGTTCACATAATTTATGCGATTTCTTTATGTTGCAAAAGATATCATTGACATTTCATCAGAAAATAATGAATATTTATTGAGAAAGATATTCTGGAGTGCAAAGGGTTGAGTTTGAGGAATGACTAATGTTGAATATTGAAAGTATGAGATGTTAAAGTTTGAAAATATTAAGTATGGAATGTGAAATATTAAAAACCTTAGATGTTTTATTTAGAGATTAGATATTAAATATCAGAAATACTATCAAATATGAAAGATATAAAATATTGAATACCAGGAATACCAATCACTAAATATCAAAAATACCAAGTATCAAATATAAAAGATATGAAATATTGAATACCAGGAATACCAATCACTAAATATCAAAAATACCAACTATCAAATATAAAAGATATGAAATATTGAATACCAAGAATACCAATTACTAAATATCAAAAATACCATCTACCAAGTATCAGAAATATCAATTCCCAAATACAAAAACCTCCAACTAAACATCAAAAATATCACCCATCAAATATCAAAACCACCAAACACAAAGAACCACCGACTAAAGATAAAGAATCCGAAAACACGAAACCTACATCAAAACAAACGGTTCGAGACAAAACAATCGGTCGTAATTGCGTAGTAAGCGAACCATCGGTTCATTCCTATAATCGAGGCGTACGGGCGCAAGTTGCACGCTAATTAGAATCGGGACCAATTATCGTGGCCCGTTCGAGCGGTTAATCCCGAATACAACGTTAATTCGCGAGCGTAACATTCCCATTGAATCGTCGGATGCCAACGGGACACGATTACGCGACGGGACGGCGCGCGTTCGGTGCATCGAAATGGCGCGCAGCATCCGCGCCGTCCGATCTTCGGCTTCTCGGTGAAAAACGACGCAATCCCGGGACTTTCACCGCAGGAATTCCTAGCTCGCGCCTCGTGCCGATCGCCGCTATTATTTATTCTTGCATCGAGGAGCGCGCATCCCTCGGACGAAAGCTATTCGCTTGCGACACGCGGAATCGACATACTTCGACTCTCTTGCGTTGACGATCGAAATTGTTTGTCGAAATTCTATTACGTTAGGTCGTCCTATAAGTTTGTGTCGTTTGTTTTTCTGTTATGTAAAATAATGTTTTATTAGTGTACTGAATGTCGAGCGATTTCACGTGGGATACGAAATGGTAATAAATGTAATATCGAAGTATTTGAATTGCGTTGGAATTTTGGATGGTTATCTTGATAAACTGCTTTAGGTTGCATTGTTTATGATGTATACGCTTTTAAATGAGCATTGTTTCATTAGTGAATGGCAGTAATTCGATTTGGTTGGTCATTCAACGTGTTAACATGTTGAGGAAAAACAGCGGTTATAATATGTCAGTTATATATCACTATATATAAAAATGTAAAAATTATATATTATATATTATATATTAAATATTAAATATTAAATATTATATATATTAAATATTACATATATTATATATTATATATTAAATATTATATATTATATATCATATATCACTTATTCTTTGTATAGTGATACTATATATAGTGATACTATATATAAAAGTGGAAAAATTATATATTATATATTATATATCACTTATTCTTTGTATAGTGATACTATATATAGTGATACTATATATAAAAGTGGAAAAATTATATATTATATATTATATATCACTTATTCTTTGTATAGTGATACTATATATAGTGCTACTATATATAAAAGTGGAAAAATTATATATTATATATTATATATTATATATTCTTTGTACAGCAAAGATACGAAACAAGACTTAATATAAGAATTTTTATATCAAAGAATTAATAAGTCTTGTTTCGTATCTTTGCTGTTTCGTATCTTCTATCTAGTTACTTTCCTTACGGAAGATTTGTATTCGAAATCAATTATCTCGCAAATCATTATTCTCTAATTTAAATTGCTCCAGTCATCGGTAACCGCCGTGACAAAGTGTCGAATACAAAGTCTGAATACAAAAATAAAATTTTACCTTCGATCTCGAATACTTTCTACTAGCCAGACCGAAGCACGAAGGTTCAGTTTATACCTGAGATTGATTAAAAATTAAGTAACAATCATTGTAACGATCCTCCGGGTCGAACAATGGAAACGAATTCACCGGGTCGCGAACCGACGCGTATCTGGTCACGTGGCGCATGTCCGCTGCACCGGACGCCGGGTTGGCGCCGATCAATCGCGACGAACTCGAATTCAATCTCGAAATTCCGCACCGGGGAACAATGACGCGTGATTAACGGCGGATCGGAGCGGGTCGAGGGTACGACTAAGGCCGCGGCCATGTCCGGAGTAGTAAACCATAGAGCGGCGAGTGGTAATCGGTAACGCTCGTAATTGCTTCGCGAGTGTTTACACGTCGAGCAGGAAATTTTGAAAGATGACGTTAAGAGAAGAGGATGCGCGTGGTACGAGGAAATGCGGGAAACTTTCAAGATTTTGGTTCCATCGAATGAATCCTTTGCAATGCAGTTTCGTGATATGGTGGTACATCCTTGTAGTTGCCGATTTTTATAGTAAAATAATTTCCTGTTGTCGATCTATTAGAATTTTACACTAAGAACAATAGTCCAGTTATTTCTAAGAGACATTTTCCTTCGATTTCCTAGTGAAGACCTGTTGTCCGATTCTAGGTGACAGGACAATCGACATTTTGGATTCTGTAGTTACCGATTTTTACAGTAAAATAATTTTCTTTTGTCGATCTATTAAAATTTTCCACTAAGAACAATAGTTCGGCAATTTCTGACAGACATTTTCCTTCGATTTCCTAACCAAGACCTGTTGTCCGACTCTAGGTGACAAGACAATAAAGA